AAAAAAAAAAAAAAAAAAAAAAAAAGCACCCAAAAACCCATAAAGCTACCATTTTTCTTACATTGCTAGCTCAATTTCCATATACTCTCTCCCAAAAACACCCAAAAACCCATAAAGCTACAATCTTTCTTACATTACAACCTCAATTTCAATCTATTTTCCACCCAAAAACCCATAAAGCTACAATCTTTCTTACATTAAAACCTCAATTTCAATCTATTTTTCACCAAAAACTCATAAAGCTACAATCTTGCTTACATTACAACCTCAATTTCAATCTATTTTTCACCAAAAACTCATAAAGCTACAATCTTTCTTACATTACAACCTTAATTTCAATCTATTTTTCACCAAAAACTCATAAAGATACAATCTTTCTTACATTACAACCTCAATTTCAATCTATTTTTCACCAAAAACCCATAAAGCTACAATCTTTTACAAAAACCCATAAAGCTACAATCTTTTACATTTCCACCAAAACAAAAATTAAAAAAATAATAAAAATGGGCAAGACAGAGCACAAAACCCAGGCATCAAACACCAGCTTCAAGAAAAAGTACAAGGGTGTCCGAATGAGAAGCTGGGGCTCATGGGTCTCCGAAATCCGGGCGCCCAATCAGAAGACCCGAATCTGGCTCGGCTCCTACTCCACCCCGGAAGCCGCCGCCCGTGCCTACGACGCCGCCCTCCTCTGCCTCAGGGGCCCCTCCGCAAATCTCAACTTTCCAAACTCCCAAAACGGGCCCCCTCCAGAATCCGAATTTGCGGACGCGTCCCCCAAATCCATCCAGAGGATCGCGGCCGCCGCCGCCGCCAGAGCCGGCGATGCGTCGTCGTCGTCGTCCTCATCGTCGTCATCCAACGGCTCTGCTCTGTCGCCCTCTCTGTCTTCGTCTTCGTCCCCTGTTACGGAGGCGCGTGTCGAGGAAGATCTGATTTCGCTGGCGGCCAGCGCCGACGACGACGACTGCCGGTGGTACAACTTCGAAAGCCCGAAGTACGACGACGTGATGAGTGGGGATTTTTTTGATTCGTTCGTGGGTTTGGATGATTTTTGTGAAGACGGAGATATCAGGCTGTGGAGCTTCTGCTGAAGAAGATGATTTTTTTTTTAAGGTTTTATTTGGTTTTATTATTTTATTGATTTATTCATTCTTTTTTATGGTCTTCAGTGTATTTTTGTTCAAGACATTGCTGACCGTGACTGGTTTTAAACGTTGGGAGATTATACGGGTTCGGGGGTTCCGTTATGGAACCATTGTGTCCAGATTTATAACTGTTCGATGAACTATCAACATCTGATGTAACGGTTATTTAGCATTTCCCTTAAATGTTTATTTATTTATTTATTTATTTATTTGGGTTAAAAATGTGAAGTTCAAAAATTTGTGAAGGCTTTCAAATGGGAGAAAATCTATAAGGGGGAAATTTATTTATGTAGGCTCTGTATAGGAAATATTTACATAGATATGTTCTAAATAAACTTTCATTAAAATGAAACTTTGACGTGCGCTTTTTTCATATTTACGAAATGAGATTTCACACACTTGCGTATAATTTTCTGTCTCTAACTATTAAAGCAGTTCAAGCAATGATCTTATTTATCTGAAGGACAGAACGATACTCAATTTCTAAAGTTGATGTCGTTGGCTCCGTTAATGACTATATTAACTCATTGAACTTCTCCAAGTGAAGGACTTGTTATAAATTGTGGAGTAGATTACAACGAAAAACCTATGAACTCGAACTAGAAAACAAAAAAAAAAAAAAAATACAATCTAAAAACGAAAGACAAAGACAAGGGCAGTGTTGGTCTTTTCGCAAGACAGATACACTCTGTAATGTGCTGACAGGATTAGGCATCTCGTCCTCAAAGATAAAACGGGTGACATCTCGAAGGTTGTCGCACAATAGACTTCCGAGCTCCGACGAACTCGAACGATGTCGAGAACTGAGCACTATATGTTATGATGCGTGAGGCTATGGAGTATGTAGATGATCAGATGTGTGAGTTTTCTCTGCAACTCTATACCATGTCCTATCTATAGGACTTCCAGCACAAGTGGGATACATCTGGTCTTCAACTTGTAGCAACTTGGTGATGGCTATTGTAAATGGGCAAAACATTTTAACATTTTCAGGCGTTAAGTCATATTCAGTCCACCTGATAACAACCAAATTCTGTCTTCACGATCTTCATAGTTCATAGTCCTGAATTTTCAATGGGATTAAGTGCTTGGAACTGTCGAATCATAAATTATACTTAAAGGTTGACAGTCCAGTGATGTTGCTGAGGAAAATTGACTATTCCATAGGGTTGTGCAACATACACATTTGGTTATTACTAAGCTCAACAGTCATGGACTTGAATGCATAATTTTAACTAGTTGCAGAGCTAGTGATAAGGTTCTTATTACTAGGCTCACAGTCATACCTTTCGATATGAGGGTGCGTTCAAGTTTCAGCGCAGATAATTTAAGTCATGGTTTCCTATGTTATGACAATCAACAAGAGTCAATGCCAGCCTCTGTCGCACGTGGGATTAGTACTAAAAAACCTTATTTTCAGTCATGGGCAGTTGTAGGTGGCTCTTTCCAGTCACAACTTGAAAGAGTTTGAAGAAAATGATTTGCAGCGATAGAGATTCTGATGATAGAAAAATAATGAACATTGTTTATAAATTTTTTATAATAATAATTAGATTTTTTTCCTAATTCTTAATATTTCATGGAGTAAATTGTGATTTTTACTTTTTTATATATATATATTTTTTTTTTTGTATTGCTTACTCTTCTAATATTTCGCTTTCCGTGCAAATGCACGGGTTGATTACTAGTGTAATCGTTAACTGTACATAAATTAATAATTACTAGTACAACACCTATATATTACGCGAGTGCTTGTTAAAAAAACTATTTTTAAATTTTTAAATTAATGAGAATTTTTTTAAAAAAATTATATAGTTTAGACAAATAATATTCATTATTGCATAATTTAGAGTGACACTTGTTCTTGTGCATATAGATATATTATTGCATAATTTATGTAGCATAATTTAGAATGACACTTCTAAAATACATTTCCAATTCAATGGTTATAACATGAATTTATATTAACATGTAACTAATACATCTAAAATGATCATACATGATCAACATATTTATGAATAATCTCAACCTAATTATATTTGGATTAGAAGTAAATTAAAATATCCAAGTCAAACAGTTGAGCATGAAATTTTCTCACATAGGATCGCGAAGTATGCATCTGCCACTTAAGCTCAGCATATCCGGAAATCATATGTAAAGAAAATGTTAGCAAAGTAACTTATTATTATTATCTCTAGTTAACTTCTAGCACAATGAAGAAGAAAAATAATAGTTCAATACGTAGATAGTTTCGTGAAGTATCTTGTTATATATGTTATGGGCCACACCCAAATCTTTGGATTTTACTTATATTTATGTTTGGTTTCTTTCTATCTTTCTTTCTTTCTTTTTTTTTTTTTTCAAATCGTAGAAATTTTATATATAAACAAGAAATACTTACATCTAGAAAACAGCTCAAAATCCGAAAAAACAGTTCAAAACCCAAATCTAGTGAGAGGACAAATCCAAAGAAACGCCTAGAAACGACACTAGAACAATCACATTCACTAACAACATAAAAGACGAAACAAACTCTACACCTGGAAGATAAAAAAACTTCCCAACGAGAGAAGCACACTCCCCTACGGGAGATGTTTGGTTTCACATTAATTTGGCAGTACACATGACAGAGACAACCTAATAAAGTTGAAAAATAAACCTAATTCAGGAGATAACCTACAAAATAATTTTGGGCATCTATCATGGAAAGAGCAATTTTGCTACGTAAATATATATATATATATTGTAAATTTATGAAAAGAACAAAATAAACATGTCATTATATGTGTCGAGATGTTATGATATTAATTAATATGTGGCATTTTATTCATCGATCAGTTATAATAATTATTTAAAAAAAAATGGACATATTTAAATTTTATTAGAACATGGCATCGCCAACCTGTAAATTAAGTTGAAGCTTTATTTGAGCAACATGTCATGTGGCCTTAGGGCATCAATTCAGGCAAAAGAAAAAAAAGAATGACAATATTCTAATTTTATTTCAATTAATATCAATCTTTCTCTTGAGAATCCTATGTTGTATGCTATGATGTTGCATTGAGAAATATTGAAATGCAAAACTTTGAGTGTAAATGATACTATGGGTCAATTTTTGTACTTGCAATTAATTTTTTTTTTTTTCAACGATAGAATTTATGAATAATAACATAAATACAAATTAGATAACGACTAATTAGCTGAATAAGTCAGCTACCTAGTTGAATCTAGTTAGGAAGACTACACCAAGTAGTCTAAAACCAACCTAACAAACAAGAAAACATTAAAACCTAACAGACGAATACAAAAACTCACACAAGTGAAGATCAAACACTTTCAAAAGGAGAATAAGGACAAAAAAATACCGAAAAATAACCTATTATAAAACTAAAATGCTCCCCACTAACCATACAGTACCCTGAACTATCTGATTAGAATGGAGATTTTGACCTCCGAGGACGAGACGGGTCGAAGGCCGAGACACCCGAGAAGGTCAAGCATAGGTCCAAAAAGGCACATGCATGGCATCAGAGACGTGCGCGAGCTCGGAAGCGACGGGCGCGCACAAGGAAGGTTGCTCGACGAGCAAATAGGCCACGCAAAACCGTAATGGCACAGACGAGACCACTGCTGCAAGGAACGTGCCATTGAAGGTTTCAGGATGCAGGTAAATGGAGGAAACCTGGATAAGATTGCCAAGGCACCAAGTGACTCGCGCAAAACGCCGGGTGCGCGAGTCGGGGGCGACGCGACCTACTCAGGCGAAGACGACCTCGGAGGGAATGTCCTAGTCGTCACTTCAAGCTGGTGGCCTTATGTTGATATTCGAGTTAAAAGAGGGAGGAAAACTAAGATACTAATTTGCGTCAGGTCGAATCCCGGGCAATCAGTCAAGGTCGGTCTCATGGATATGATAATTAAAGGGAGACCTGCAATCAGTCGAAGGATATCCGACTTCCCTAACTTATTCAGGTCGGGAACCCTACGCCACTTAGTTGCAGGAAAATGTTATAACACTCCCACTTTTAGTTTAATGATGATTGATAGGACAGGCGCATCACTTTTATAGATCTACCCAGTTAGGTCAATAGGGTAGCATGCATGTTAACATTTAATACATGTCAAATAGCCTTAAATTGATGTGGCCCCATTGAACAATGGCCATATATGTAACTCTATAAATAGCTTTCGAGCCAGGAGCAGAGGGTTCTGATTCCGGCAGACCAATTTAATACGTTGTACAGTGAAATACACTGAAAGGATCCCGCATTTAAGATGGAAACTGACCTCATGCAGCCGGAAAATCCGACCTCATTGATATTATTTCTATGCAATCTATCCAACCAAATTCGATTTTTAATTGCCTTAGTGACCGAAAGTTAATATAAAATTTCTCAATCTAGGTTGATCATATCCGTTGATCAACATTAGGCAAACCACACTGTTTAAACATATATACATACTTTCAAACTGACATGTCATACTGTAAGAAAGATCATAAACAAAAAGTAGGATTATTTATAACACAATTATGAATTATTCTTGAAAGATACAACAGATTAACCACTAATATGTAGAGGTGGCCATGGTCGGCCCGTAAACAGCCCGTATGCAAGGGTCATTGAACCGTGCTCGTGCTACAAACAAGTCGGTTTCAA